AGAAAATTCGATACCCAAGGACGGTAGAATGTACAAGAATAGAGCCGATAAATGTTTATGCAACGCGTTCGCATATTTGTTAAAAACCGAAATTGTGTTAAATCCATAAACAAAGACAACGGAATTGAATTGAAATGAAGTTCACAACACGAAGAACAAAGAGCATAACATTAATTTCAAAAGAATAAAAATTAGTTAAAACATACTCGCCTTTCCTATTCTAAATTGTGATTTTTATGTACCGTATATATATTTTTTTTATTCAATTTTTTATTTATTTTTAATAGTTTTATTAATAATTGTTATACATTGATAACAATTATCTTTTGATGTGCTTTAGACAATCCCTTTAATGGAATATAAGCGACTATAGGTAAACTAGTTGCAATAAAACATTAGGCTTTAATTAAAAGAAAAATAATTGATTCCGGTCGTACTAGGCATATTGCAGATATGCCGGGATCTATTTTTTAAGGGTTGAAAAAGCAAACCATTCTGCCTTTTTTTTGCAAGGTATTAGCGGATAATTTATTGGGGATTATCTAATATAAAAAAACGGAGTGAGTACGGTAGGGAAAAACGTTTTTTCTATCCCATGTCAGCGCTTTTACAATGGGGAAGTAATGCCTTGGTTGGCTATCTGCATTCTGTCCTTTTTAGGCCCACGCTCGCCAATTTATCAGGCCGGGGCAAATCCTATGTTCTTTTCCGAATATCCGGTCCAAAAAGAGACTCGAAAAAAATCTATAAAAACTTTCAGAGAGAGAAAAACCAACAACAACGAGATTAATCGCCTGTCAGTCCGGGAAATGACGTCATTACGAAAGAAATCCCAGGAGGAAAGCGAAAGAGGCACAACCGATTGCATAAGAGACGGCGGGACGATCTGTGTAAACGTCCAAGGAGGAAAACAAGGTCTAAAATCTCTCTCTGTACAGTTTTACCATTCTAAAATATTTTAAAAACAACTAGATTCATAATAACGAGAAGCATGATAAAAATGGATCTGACCGTGCAGTCCCATGCTCTTCATAAGGATCTCATTTGGCAAAACACGATTCTTCATAAATAAACGGATATCACCATAGCCAATAATGGATAAGATCCAATCAGTTCAAAAAGAAATGATTAATTTAAGTCTGGAAAGTCATTGGATAAGGCCCGTGCAAGCATTATGTGGTGTAACGCGATCTAAAAGCAATGGTTAAGACTGGATTCATGGATAAAAACCCGTACAGACGTGATGAAATGCGATTCGAGGTCGTTAATGGATAAAAACCGTGCATTTCCATGCAAGTAGCGCATATCTTTCTTTGGTGGAGAAACGGAAAAAATAAATATATATGACCAAGGCCAAGTGCAATTCTATACACCTCGCTCATATCTCATGTTGCGATATGCGAATCTTAAAAAATAAATGGATATGACCCGGGCCGAATAATGGACGAGACCCGTGCAGCTCCACGTACAGATTTCAAGGGGCAAAACGATCATTCAAAAATAAATGGATATTACCAAGTTAATGGATGAGACCGTGCAGTTCCATGCATCTCGTACAGACATCATGTGGCGAAACGCGGTACTTCAAGAAAGAATAGGTAAGGCCCAAGCAGGTTTATGCTCTTAAGTGCATATCTTAGGTGGCGAACCATTATGCTTCCAAAAGGAACAGTTACACGGTTGACATAGTAGGAACAAAAACCGCGTGTTTCGTCAGGGATTTTCAGCAAGCCGACGCCATTTTATGACAGGCAAAAAACAGTATGCGGATTTTTTGGTCTTTCCCGGCCGATTGTCAATATCGGTGCGTTTACGCTGATCCGGCACGTGTTTCCAGCGCTGTAAGGCTATCCGTTGCGTTTCGCCGGTTTTTCCATGGAAAATCCATTTCTGTTTCACAATCACCAATGGCCCGTTTTTGGACGGAACGGTTCAAATTGTACGTATCGGCTAGCTTATGATGACGTGTCCTTTTTAAATTACGCTACGTACTATTTTTATATAATTACTAATTTTTTGTTTTGCAATAGCGAACCGTTTTGAAACGATGATATAAAAATATCTTACTATACATGCTAAAGAATGAGGATTGTAGTTAAAACTTTAGGGCTTAAGCCAATTGTGGCCGGCCTCAAAGCGATTATCCCACAGCCCGATTAACCATCTGCTCGGCTAATCCGGCTAATAACGTCGGTAATGTGGGAAAAATGTCCTTTTAAACATTAGGCCGGCATGGGCAGGGATATTTTATTTTTCTTATTATATTTAGGTTAAGATTAAACCACTTATGTTGTTTAATCAATTAAGGAAACTTTTATAAGACGAAACCCGACAAAATAGGTCAATATGTCAATGGGCAGTTCAAGGTGTAGGACGTCACGTCTAAAACGAATCTCACATCCATGATTGATCTAACTAAAACAATGTGGGCTGAAAGTACTTAAAAAAAGTGTGACAATCCACCTCAAGATTGTTTACGTAGCGTTTGAAAAAATATTACACCTTTCCAATGGAATGTTCAAGATAAACAATAAAACGTCGTACCAACCAGACGATTAATCCGGAATAACTTTGACTTTGGGGCTTTGCCAGTGGGAACAATTGAATGCCGCCGAGATTCCCCGGATGTTGTCAGGTGGAATGCGATTACCAAGAAGATGGGCAAAATTTAATAAAGCGATCGAATTCGATTCGGATTTTGCCAAATGTCAACACGCCTAAGACGGTCGAATGAAAGAGACCAAAGTCGATTCGTGCGATACTACATTCAATATTCAAAGATTCTTGTCTTATGAACGATATTCTATAGTTTATTATCATTTTTGGCCTAAAAGTGATGACAGGCGGATCCAGGGTAGACAGTCCTTCGATTGAACTACTAAAAACTCTAAACAATTGAGCTCTTGGCTATTATCCTTGTGAAGAAAATCCAAGCCAACGCCTAGGTTGAAGAAACAAGCGGATCCAAAATGAACCTGACTATGCAATTTTGCTTCCATCTGTTTTCTATGTTGTTTCTGTATTGCAATTAATTCCGTTTGTTTCAGAAGATGATTTCATAAATATTTAACGGTTGATATAGACGGTTTTAGTTTTCCTGTTTTTATTGTGAATGTAATGTCAAGGCCAGTCATTTTATTTATTCTCTCTTGTTATACTCTCTCTCTCTCTCTCTCTCTCTCTCTCTCTCTCTCTCTCTCTCTTTCTTTCTTTCTTTCTTTCTCTCTTTTCCAGGTCATTTATGTAATAATGGTTAAAATTTTGATAACGAGAACTCTTTTATCTGAAAGGTAGGAAGATAACCTATAGAAATTCGTGTGCAGAAGGGAAATAGGTTGTTGTGAGCCTTATCGCCTCAGAGAAATTAGATAAAAATCAGATGAAAATCGTTTCTCTCGTTAGAAAAAGTCGTACAAAACGGTGTGAAATGTGCACTCGACCCGTGTCTAACAACGGGCCCATAAGGGCCATTAGCGTCCCCTTTCGCGTCCTAGGACTTGGGGGAAATAAGGAAAAAAAAACACATTTTACACGAAAAGGGGGGAAAAATTCGTAATTTATACGGGGAATTAAACGGGTGACAGGCCCGGTGGCGACCTACGGGGAGTTAAGAATCCAAAAGGGTGTTCGAAAAAATCCCTTTTCCACCCCAAAAAGGGTTAGGAAGGGTTGGCGGCCAGGTGGAGGCACTTGCAGAAACAGATGTTACCAGGTTTGTGGAAAACACCTTCCATTGTTGGAAGAATGTTGGCAATATGCCGCAATAACAGGCGAGCATCATCATCTGTCCCTAACCCCATCCCCCTATGACCTGGGTTAAGCCTTTTCCTCTTGAGCCCCTTCTGTAAGACAATTCTCATTTTTTCTTCTCACCCCCTTTAGACCGGCTGGCTTTTAACCTAGTTTTTCCCTGAATGGGATGAAAAGTTCCGAGTCGTTACCGAAAGTTATCTTTCCGATCCAGGTCCCCCGGTGGCGCGACCGGGCGAAAAACGGGAGGACTCAATTACGATGATTCATATGAGTGACGTAAACCTATAAATATTTAATTTATTTCAATTTGAATGAAATCCGGAAGTAAAACTTATCCTTCCTGAAGGAAAAATAAAAATATTTTTGCCGATACACTCGTAAAACAATCTACCAAAATTATATGGCAAATGGTTGACGAAAGCGTTAAGCTCAGAATAATCATGAATTAATTTAGGTCTTTTTCTGGGTCCAGAGCGTCTAGTTACTTGTGGAAGAATTCAATTAAACTTGCAAAGATCGGGAAGGTCTTTAATTTAATTGACCCTTTATATTGTCCAATTTTAATTAATTAATAGTGTGATAAACATATCATTAATGATTAATTCAAGCGTCCTCCTTTGATATTTGAACTGAATTTCTGCGATTTAAAGCGCAGGATGTTGACTAAATGCTAATTAGAACCACCTAAATTTTCTAATCCTCTCTTCCGGGGACATGGGTCCGGCACGTCCCGCTTCTAATGGAAAAACAAAACGAACTAAATTGAAGTTGTCAATAGCGACCGTTGTATTTTTTTTTTTTTAAATCGTCAAAAAAAGGTCAAGCTTACCCGAAAAGCCGGATTTGACCCGAAAAAAGGTCTTATTAATATTTAATTTCCAGTCGATTTGTGCAGACCCGAAAAACTGGGTCGTAAATTATTCTTTTCACGTCAACAGCACGCGTGTAATTTCTGGCTTTGTCAAATTAGAAAAAAAGGCAAACGGTGTCAAAAGCTGTGTCGAGCGGAGGTCACAACAATGAAACGAACCCGGGTAATGTGACGAGGGGGGGGGGTTCGGCCAAGCTGCATTAATTAAGGAAAAGGGGATTAAGGGATGGAAAGGGTTCCAGATTTCTGGAAACCCCTTTCGACAATAACAACATCTGCTCAAAGGGTTGCGAGCTATTGCCTCAAAAGCGGGATTGCACAATTGGCCGGCGCATCTGCCTTTTGCATCTGGGCGGACTTTCATCTGCTTGCATACCTGTGTTTGAGGCGGTGTAGGAGGCGAGGAGAGCTGCTGCGTGAGGCTGGTGACTCAGGATGCCGTGGAGAAGTGCTTTGTGGTCCTGCGGCTCCCTTTTCACGTAGCCTACACCTCCGACCGTTGGGGCCACAGCTGTGTCAACTGGAAACAAACCAAGAAAAAAAAAATTAGAAAAAATCTGCTAACAGGAAAATTCACAAGACACCATTTTCTGTTTTATTCTATCAATGCCGAAACAACTCTATGCTCTGGACTCGCTGACATTTTGTAGAACATGAAAGCTATCAAACGAACATATGTGAATCCTATTAAAATACGAAAGGGGAACGCGTCTAGTCAAGGACAGACAGCGAGACGTGGCGGACCCAATCGGACTAAAGTGTGGTCAACGGTTCACGGTCCCCGCAGACCAATCTCGTACTAAACTCTCATCCTTCAGAATCGGCAAACTCGAGGTCGAAAGGTTTCTTATTTGCGAAATTAAACCCGTTTTCACAGAAAGAGAAAGCGCAACTAGTTAAATAATAGAATAAAAAAAAGTCTGACAATGAACTTAAAAGAAAGTACTTTTTCTTCTTTAAAAAGAATTAGAAAAAAACGATCATTAAATCTTTTTACAATAATTCGTTCTTAAAAGACAAAAATGGACAATTTGTTGTTGAATTTTTCAATATTTGAACCGAACTCGAGAAGATGTATTGAGCATCCTAAGCAATATCAAGTCCTGAAGGTAACTAAACGCATAAAATAACAGTGAAGTTTGACATATCCGACTTTCAAAATAGATCAAATAATTTCAATTATTCCAGGGCAAGACCTATACTTGATTTTCAGAAAAGGTGAAAGTTAATCCGGTTCAACTAGGGTGAAAAAAGCACAACCGATTCTTGATTAAAATAGGCAAAATCCCATCAAATCCATGTTTGTACCACCTACGACTTAATAAAGACATTTGCCTATGGAAAATTTGCCATTTTATTCGGTGAGATGAAAAAGTTCTTTAGACAGACAACACGACGTAATTTGGACCAGTATGATCAATAGGACCAATATACAAGATTCCATACTTTAAAATACTAAATCCCGTTATCATTAATGAAAACTTCAAAAGATTTCATTTAAGAAAAACTTGGACAAATTATACAATTAAACATTGTGCCCAATAATTAGAACGATTCTCACGCATTTTTTTTCCTAGGCCAATTGTTTATAAAAATAACCTTATTCAACTTGTTACCTTAATTGGAGTCGTTTTAATTATTGCCTGATATAACGGAAAAAATTTGGCCCGTCTATTCTTGCTGTTTTGGCCTGACAAACTAATTTGGCTGACTCCAAGCTGCAAGTTAACCCGCTCATGAAGAAAATGTATATACTTAAAATGTGTGGTGTTTAGTGGTCGTTAGCCAACAACGTAGGTTTTAGAAAAACATTTTCTTTATCGTGCCAACGTTTCGATCTTGATTGAGATCATCTTCAGGGCTGAAAGTGTTTCTTTTCTGAGTAGATACGTCACACCAGACCGCTTCTCACGATCTCCAAATAATCACTTATATAGTAGGGTGCCTTCCGATCATTTTGGTTTTCCTATTTTTGCAGTTTTGGCCCATTATTTTCAGCTTAAACGAATCTGACAGCCAAGAACGACCAATCTACAGATCCATCACCTCTCAGACCTCAAGAGTAAATCACACAATATTCCAGATTCACAATTTCACAATTCAAGACGAAACTTCAGTTGCTTCGTCATTATTAAACATGAAATATTGTGTAGTAATAATGCTGTTTTTTGGGCTGCAATATATAGTTAACAAGGCAGAACAACCCTCGGACCGAGTTCGGGCCAAATTTTCGGATCGATTGTCCCCCGTTAATACTTCATTTAGGCCCCGACCCCATAACCCCGAAAGGAAAAGAAGAAATTGGCCCAATAAATAACCCCCAAAGGGGGTGAGAAATCCTGAACATCCCGAGAAAACTTTCCCTGAAGAAAAAACAACTATTAGGCCATATTTGTCTTATTTTTTCTTCCAATGTCTAGGGGTTGTATAAGCGAACAATAGAACACTCGGTTGCGTAAATGCGGCCAAAAGTGGTCGGCGAATCAGAGCGTGCTGCGGTTCCGACCCTTGGAAGGAGAAAGTCATCCCCAAAGTGTAAATCACCCCTCACTGGGGTGCCCGAGGGCCTTTCACTCGGCCCCATAAATTCTGAAAAGGGGACTTGCTGAAAACCAGGCCCCAAATGTAAACAAACCTTTTTTTTCACTTCCCTTTTTAATTGTCTCCGACCCAATTTCACTTAATGGGCGGAACGGGGGCTCCTTCGGAGAAACTTGTCTTTTCAATATTTGAGATTTCTGTTTTCTAGAATTTTTTCCTGGCCATCCCACCCGTAAAAAAAGTCCAGCAAAACACGCATACAATTCCATGTTAACAAGATCTGATAACTGTAAAATTGTTAGACTCTTTCACTCAATAAATCTCTCTCTCTATCTTCCTTTCTTCATCACTCTCTCTCTCTCTCTATCTATCTTCCTTTCTTCATACTCTCTCTCTCTCTCTCTCTCGCGCTCTCTCTCTCTCGCTCTCTCTCTCTCTCTCTCTCTCTCTCTCTCTCTCTCTCTCTCTCTTTCGCCCCTTCCTTCCCACTATCAATTTAACATTCTATCTATCTACCTATCTTCTTCCTACTTACCCTCCCTCTCTCTTTGAAGGCCCTCTCAGTCAATAAGAATCTGATCCCTCTCTCTGTCTATCTGTACATCTATCTAGGTATCTATTTATTAATAATTCGATTATTCAAGTTACAAAGATTTTTTCCAAAACTGAAAAACTCAGGGCAATCACGACTACGACTTTAGTGACTTTAAGGGACTTTAATATCACACAAAATTTCAAAATTTGTTCAGATTTTGCTTGAATGCTTATCAGATATTAGGGCGTTCTTATAAACAGCCCCTATCTATAAAAAAACGCGTTTCGCCCAACTGCTACGTATATTTTTTTGAGGGTGAAGCAGTTAATATTGAAAGGGCGATGAAATTTATAGGTCACATATGGCCCACATGCTCCAGAAGTCGAAACGTCGATGGAGGGGAATTATGTATTTTTCCCAATTACGACGGTGTTTAGAAGAGATTAATGCGGAAAAAATGACCCGGCCGAAGTCACCCTTATTTTTCACCCCAGGGGCACAGTTTTTTTTTTCCAAGAGAAGATTTTCGGCAAAACCTAGCTGCGGGCCTTGATGGTCGTTTTGAAACAGAAATTGCCCAATCTGTTGTGTTATAATTAAAGGCAAAGGCATTAGGGTAACGTCCCGTGACAAAAGACTTCCCAGGTCGTCAAAGCGTTGTACTGAAGCTGGTGGAAAACTTAAAATCTCATTAATTTTCCTTCTTGCAACATAACTCCTTCTAATAAATAAATAAAAGGGGCGTCGGTGGCCCAACGGTTTGGGCGTTGACACGGCGCTCATGGCTGTAAGGTAAAAGTACCGGGTTCGAGGCCAGCGGCCCTGCATTCGAACCCGACATATGTACTTACCTCTCGTTTGAAAAAAAATAAATAAATAACATTATTGAATCATCATTTTAACAAAATTTTGACAAAGTTCAGATCGATTTAGGGATCGACGTATGTCGCAGAGAAATTGCCATTAACAAAGAATCTTAGATGCATCAGATTGTCATGTAAATAAACCCCGAGAAAGGCAAACGTGGTAAAATCATTTATTCATAGCAAAATTTTGGGTAAACAGGAAAGGTTTATTTCAAATTTGCACGGTTTTTGAACTAGAAAGTTTTTATTCATTATTTTTGATTTGCAAGTTGAAAAATCAGGAAAAAGATACGAAGTAAACTTTTTTCTTTTGTACCTATTTTTCTTCTATCTAGTTCTAGCTAGATTTTCGAAATAATGGACTAAATAATTCGAAAAAGTGGTTGATGTTAAATTTTTGTTTAAAAATTGATAAAAGAAATCTTTTCTTGATGGAAGGACAGAGGTGTCTCATTATCTCAGTCCATTAAGGATGTGTCACAAATTTCCAGGGCAATTACACCTGTAGGATTTCCAAAACAAAAAAAAAGTGAAAGAAGGCAATTAATAAAATCTACTTTCTATTTATTAAGGATCGACAAGGAAAACAAAACGTCCGAAAAAAGTGAAACTAGGGCAAAAGCATTAAAGAAAATAAATGGGTAAATTAGGGCGCGATTTCTTAACCTTGGTGGAGGGGGTTCGAGATTATCATCTTCCTCCCGTGTTTTTCCGATTCCTTAAGGAAGGACCGTGAAAGTAGGTCCTGCGGGAGGAAATGCCCGGAGGAAGAGAGAAAGTCTGTTGAGGGGGCAGTGACGAAATCCGAACGTGTATATTATCGTTTCCTTGGCCTAGTCAGTTGTCCCCAATTCTAAACATATGGCTCTTGTCCGCTCACGCCTTCTCTTCTTTTTCCTTTTTCTTAAGAGTATTATTAATCGAAACTATTATGCCTATTTTATTTACCCGAGTGGGAAAGTCAGGGGTCGAGGACGAATCCACCGGGTTTTCCTCCGTATAAGTCAACATCATTCTTGGTAGTGAATATGATAAATATGATCGTTATTTTCTTTCACACCAGCAAAAAAATAAACAAAAGTTGAACAGTTTAAGCCAGAACATGGTATTAACTTGGAAATATTTAGTCCTCCGGGCCGGACGTATCACAGATTAATTTAACATCTGTATACTATTTTATATTCACCCTTTTAAAAAAAATTTTCTTCTTAAATTTAGAAGCGGACCTTTTATATATTTGTTTGTGCATCTAGATTTAAAATATTTGTTTGTCTCATTTTATATATTAAAATCTCTTTTGGAGGAGATCTGGAAGCGTTTCCTTAAAAAGAACTCGGAAGAATAATTTATACTATTTGAAATCATCTGATGTGCTTCAATATACAAAACCATTTCTGTCATCTTAAGACTTTAGTAGTAATAAATACATAGAAGCAGAACAAAGGATTTGTTAAAAAATTTCTTCCAGATTTAAAAACATTTCCTTAATCTATTGTTGTTTAAAAAGCTGGAAGCATCCTATAAAAAGGAAGGGTTGATTTATGTAGAAAAAAGAAGCATTTGTGAAAAGTTTTGTCT